TCTGTTTTTCATATTAAATCTGCCCTTTTTTTTTTTTTCATTCATTCAGTTTGGATTTCTTGCTTACTTTCTGATAAATTCTGAATTTTTTTTTTTTTATTGAAGTATTTCTTTGCAGCCAAGGTCTAATGTACCTTGATTGTAAATTGATCTACATGGCACACTATCTACTCTCTTATAATAATGTCCAAATCAGTAAGGCAAAAAGAAAAATCAATTATTGCAGAAAGCAAGATTTAATCGGATATTAAGAACCAGTGTATATTTGCTTTCATGCATTGCTTCATCTTAAGGCAGCTTTTGTGGAGGTTGCAATCAATTTCATTACCATATCAACAGTAACCAAATAATGAGTATTAAATTCCTATAGCAAGAAAATATAAATTGTGTTATATAAAATCTCACACTGTGCAACAGTTCCTACTAAAGTAACACCTCCTGTTTCCACAGACATAGGAAGCATAATAATTTTCAGCTTCAAAACACTTTCTATATACTCACAATCCTTGACTATGCATTTTTTGCCATAAATAAACAAGAATTCTTTATATCATGGGTTGACTGTTGTGACTGCCTGTCTGCCCAGAAGATGGCTTGTCACGCACATTGTCACTATTGCTGAAATGCATTACCCACCACCTGACTGTTCTCACACCTATTGTTTGGTCTCTGTAGACATTCAATAGATGTCAGTAGGTGCAATTAATGTTATATTTCTACATCACCATATATGCATGTTCATGTCATCTAATGTGCTAGATTGCTAGTATTTAACAAGGCAAAAAAAACTAAGGGTTGTAGAAAAATTCAACCTCTACTGCCATACTACCAAGATCTACCTGTGTTGTAATTGGCCAGAATAATAGAAGGCATTGCTTTTGGAATTTTGAAATGACCCTCATATGTAAGATATTTTAATCCTTTAAAGATTCAAATTCTGGCAGTCAATATTCCTACTTTTTAATTTATTTGAATACTTCATTAGCTTGCTCGAGATGTATCAAAACACTTGTTCTATTGTATTAAATGCAATCTTCTGTAACAATTATTTACATTTGAATTAATGTTCTTATAACCTTTCATAAGCTGTTGCATCCTCTGGTCTTTTTCAATATCTCTCGATCCAGGAAACTTTCAGCAAGTTTCAAATTGAACTGTTTATTTAATCTTTGGAGGGAGATTGTTTTTGGTCTGCTGTTTTTGTCTAGGAATATCTTGCCTTTTTTTTTTTTTTTTTTTAGTACTGCTCATTCATTGCTCACCCACTGTATCTAAGTCTGTACTGCCCAGCCCAGGGATTGAACTCACACTTACTCTGCTGCTAAATATCTAAACGGTTCTTGTGAGCTCAATCTTTGGACTAGGAAGAACAGACTTAGAGACAGTGGAAACAGGGTGAGCAGTACTAAAAAGAACAGGGCATCTTCAGACATGGTGTAAGAATAACAATTTATCCCCAAAGATTAAATAAAGTATTAAGTTTGCAATTCCCTGAAGGTTAAGTAGACCAGCAGATGTCTGAAGAAAGCTGGAGGGCCCAGTAGCTGAAACTTTGATAACAAAGATGAAGACATTGGTGCAAATGCAAATAATTCTTCATCTCAGAAATTCAGATAGAAATCTTCTGTAATAGTAATAACTAAAATTAAATATAAAAATGGAATGTCTTTCACTATATAGGGTGCCATGGGTAAATTGTTGCCATTTTTTATTTTTAATTTTATGCATTTGCATTGTTTGTTCTTGATTTTGTTAATTATACAGTATAGTAGGGTTAGCTGGGCACTGTGTGTGAGAAAAAGAACACCTTGATGCAATTCATTCTACCAGAAATTTGGAAATAGCATGCTGTGATGCTTGACATTCACATTGGAATCTCCAATATAAACATTTTAGAGTGTTTGGGTGTCAATTTGAGGACAGTGCAAAGGATTTGGAAAGAGTTGGATGAGTCTTATGCTGATTGTGAATGTATATCAGATTGAAAAATTAATTCTGATTGTTTTGATAAAAGAACTCCCAAATTTGTTGGTGAGGCCTCATTCAACATCGAAGTCTACATCAAGTGCCTTGAGGTAGTGCTGCCCTAGGTGAAGAGGGTGGCTGCTGGAAGAACCTATGTCTAGCAAAAGGACTTTGCATCATGCAACACAAGCAGGGAAACCCAGTCATAGATGTTAGACAATTTCTGTGACCACAGCATTCCTTACATCTGGCCACCTAACTAACCAAACTGCAATCCTCTTATGTGTGAGTGTAGTTGAGTGAGTGACCAACAAAACTTCCTGTAAAAAACAAAGATAAATTGAAGGCAAGGATTATAGCAGCATTCACCAAATTAAACAAGGAGACCATCCAGAAGTGTTGCAGGAGATTCTGAAGCTGTCTGGAGGCCTTGGTTGAAGCCAAGGGAAATTTTATCGAATAAATTTACTCTTTAGTATTTCAAAATATTTTTATGTAATTGTGGTAAATATATGTTAAAATGAGTTGTCAGTGTTATTTTCATTTTTTCATAATTTACACGACAATTTATCCATCGCACTCTGATGTTTTATTTTAAGTACAAGTACATTTTTAACTGTATTACTTATATAGATTTTGAGTACATATAACTTTTCTAAAATCTTATTTTTATTTTGCATCCATATATTCTTGATTTATTTTGTTAAAGTAAAACCTTGTACTTGTTTTCTGTGTTTTTTTCCCTCTCATATTGGCACTCTTTCTATCCTTTGTCCAAAGCTTTGACTTGGCAGTGTTTTCTTTTCCGATTTGAATCCCATTTCTTCAAATATGGAATATGTACTATTGGCATGCATGCATGATTTTTGTATAGACATTTTCTTCTTCATGACTAGTTTTGTTTTGTTTGTCAAATCATGTATTTTTTTTTTTTTATTTTTTTATTTATTTATCCCAGTCTTGGCACTTGTCATGGTTTCTGTCTTCGTCTTGTGTTAAGCCTCAGGCCATTTTCTCTCTATTTTCAAAATAACTGTTTTCCACACTTTCATGTAAATCATTAAACATTCAGTTTCATTCCTCATGCATATTTAAAATTGTTTTTATTCAGTCTTAAATACCTCGCCACGATTCTCTTTGAAATATCACTTACATACAAGCTCTTAAATCATTTTCCTTGGGATTTTCTGAAACAGATTTAATTTCCTTACATTTTCAAATACACTCTAGAATTTAAATTTATTTACTTGATATTGTGAATTCAACAAAAGCACGTTGGGTTAATATTAACCTTTGGAAATCATAACTTTTTTTAATAGATTTTGTTATTTGCAAGTTGCAGTTTTATATTCTCATAAAATGTATCTGTTCAAATTCAAAAAGCAATATGTTTAAATGTACATCTCAAATTTTATGAACTCATCTTATTCATTTCCTCATTTTTTTTTTATTTTTTATTTTTTATTTTTTTTTTTTTTTAAATCTCCGTTGAATCATAATTAACATTCTCAGCTGAAATAACCTTGAATGAAATTTATTGTTTGAAACCTCATAGACTTGTATTTTTCTTACACAGCAACATTCAGTTTGCTGATTTTGGCATGAGCATTATTCATAAAGAGATGTAGACTGATACAGGAAAGAATACTTGTCTGCAAACTTACAAGATAAATATTAAGCCTGAGCTTGTTGATATGCAGTTGACATGATCATTGCAGAGTTCACCAATTTCCATTCCCTGGCAGAAAGGAATCATAATATTGTCAATATGCATTTTGAATATTGTGTAACCCGGATATAAGATTTTCTCTGGTCCCAAATTAGAGCCTGTGTTAACGTATATAAAATAGACCAAACCCAGATATAAGAGACTTCTTCTCCGGTCCTGACAACTCTCTTATATCCAGGTTACACTGTATACAATTTTTTTGGTGGATTCCAAAATGAGTTTTTGTCATAAATTTATTTCTGAGATATATTTTGATGAGAGAAATATATTTTTGTTAATTTCTTCAAACTAAAAATCCAATTTCAGGATCCCAATGTCTCCATAAATGATACTACCTATATCTCATTTCATACACAATGTAATAATGATAGAATAGTACAGTTTTTGATTTCACATTTTCAAATACATGTTTATTTTTATTTATGCCTTTAATTATATAGATCTGTATTAAAAATTAATACAGAACTGGAATTAAGAAGTTTTATTAACATTCTATTATAATTCTGTTTTCCTCTCCTTTAGTTAGCATGACCATTACACTCTGCTAATACTTCATAAATAATTAACTATTCTGTTTTGCATGGAAAGTCAGATATAGCTGTTTGGCATACCTATGGACAATAATCGGTATGTCCTCATTCATATAAATACAGTAGTAAATACTGTATGTTGATCTGCAGTTGGAGATTCATTGTGGAATTCACTTGACTCACTTCTAGCAGTTGACTACTTCTTTGCACCACTGGTGAATCTTATGTGTTGTTCTTGTCCTAAGTATTAATATTCATTACCAACCTTCATGTGATTATTCCATTCAGTAACCTTCCCTAGATTACAACAGTAGCAGAGACACTAGTTGGTTTCAGAAAGAAAGAAGTAAAGAAGTATTTTATGGCATATTTTTATATTATTTTATATCTTTTCACTTCCTTTACTTAAAATAATAATCAGCATTCATATTTATGATTGTTATTGCAATATTTTGTTAAGCTCAAATATTTAACAATGTGGTAGAAGAATTTCTATGGATATTTTTATTGTAGAACTTGCTATGAGCTTATTTATTCCTTAACATAGAAAAACCATGAAGTTTTCATAGGTATTCCTAATAAACAAAACTTAGTAACATTTATAATTAGTAATACTCACAGGTAATATAGTAAATAAACTTCCCACAAGTACATTTAAAACTGCAACTTATTTACATCTTCACAACTTGCTTTAGTATTTAAACATGAGATGTGTGTAAGCTTCTTTGATATTTTTGTGTATCATTTTAAATTGCTCTTATTCATAAAGTCTCTTTCGGTCACATCACATTAAATCATTGGTTCCCATACGATCGCCAAAGTTAAGCAATGTCAGGCCTGGTCTGTATCTAGATGGGTAACTACTTGGGAATACCAGGTGCTGTAAGTTTGGATGTGTGAGTGGTGTAATGGGTAACAGCTCTGAATTTGAAATTGGAGAGCAAAGTTCCAATTCCAGTCAGGTTTGATATAGTCACTTATGTGGAAATATTTTTGAGAAAGGTATGAATTCACATTTTCTCCCCTCCCCTTAATTAGTAAGACTTGTATCACTAAACCATGGTTATCTCCAAAAATTAAAAATTCTTACAATGTAAAAATATTTTCTGATTTTAAATAACCTGCAAAGAGTTGATAAACTGTAGAAAATGAATGAATGAATCTATTAATCAATAAATTGTCCAGTTCCCTTACACTTTTCCTTTGCCAATGCCCTCAGCATTAAGAATTGAACCTGATGCTTTAAGTACAATAGGGAAGGTTCTACCTAGGAGAATGTGGTCACCCTGGAAATGAATAGTGGTTAATTTCTGACTTGGGGCCAGGACCAAAAAGACAAGTTATAGAAAAGCAGCTATGTTGTTTCAGTTGGTGATGGAGAGTTATTTAATCTTTCTTTTTATACATAATATCTTCTACATTTGACAAATCTCTAATCATTTTTAGATTTTTATTTTAGTTATGTTTTTTCTTTCTATTCTGAAGTTTACCCTGTTGATATGCTGATCTTCTTTTTGTGTAGCTTTTGACATACTACTGAAATCTTTTCCCATTAGCTATTTTTATTAAATTTTGAATAGTATGACAAACTGAAGATTGCCTCAATATATTATGTATACATAGCATCTTATGAACCAGTAGTTAAGATGCTTCTTCCAAATTTCTGGTGTATCTTTTTTTCTTTTTTTTTTTTTTTTATAAGGAAATTAAATTACAAACTACTACTCTCTTCATCACATCCATTCTTTAACAAAATATGTCCATCATGGTGTTCTTTCTATCAGGTTTTAGTAATACATTTCAAGAATCCTTACTATCATCTATTTTTTTCAAACTGTAGCAATACAAATGGAAATGATTGTTATTTCTGTATAACTCCTTTGTATTCTGAATTTTTAAAAAGAAAAATATAAAGTGTTAGAAAACTATAATGGAAGTACTTTAAAAAATCAGCATCAGCATAATGAAAATTCTTGTTTATACTTTTAATTTTAGTTAGACTAATTGCATCATTCCATATCAACAAACCAACAAGTTATTTTCAGAAAATATCTAATTTAAATAGAAATTATTTTTGTTGTGGATATTATGGCCAAATATTCTAATGTCTGAAGTACTTTTAAATGAGTAGGTTTCATTTAGATTCTTGTCTTTCACTTGAGTTGCTTTGGATGACTTTAAATTTTGAGGAAAAAGTTTTCACTAAGCAGTTGAGTGAATAGTACATTTTGCCACCTATTTCTAGTGTTTTTCCTCTTTTCATTCTTTTTCTTTCCATTACAGCCATTAACTTTAGTGCTTAGCTTAAAATATATTAATCTGAAATGATGCTTACACTCTACAGAATCAAGATTGCACTCAAACTTTTACATGTTCTTTACTATTTCAATGTTTTACTGACAGACAGCATTTCTTCTGTCATTTGAAACACAATAGACTCTTTCCATTAGAATTAGTCACTTTTGTTTGTTTGTCGTGATAGTTGCAAAGCAAATCACATTAACTGAAAGTAAGCCTGAACACTTTGATTGACTCTAATTTTATGAATTTTTAAACTTTTTGCTTGATGTTTAACATTGATTCCTTGATGATAAAAATGGTTTCAGATCCTTTTAAAAAAACTTTTTGTAATTTGAAAGCTTATTGATATGTAAAGTCTTGATTAAAGTTATTGTCAACATGCTGTTCAAAAATAATTTTTTTTTTCTGTTAGAAATCTTTCAATTTTTAACTTCATTGAGAATCATCTAGTTAAGAGTAAATTGAAAATTATTACTTTATAACCAGTCTACTAATCATTGTACCATAGAGAGTATGCATCCTGTTTAGTGACAACCATGTTTGGTTTTTGAACTCTTGTCAGCTGACAGTGCTGCTACTTGCTAAAATAACAAATTAGGTGTTTGATATGAGCAAAACATTTTATCTGCTCTTTTCTGTCTCATAAGTGTAGTTTTAGATGAAGTGAGATTTTTCTTTAAATATTGTTTTCCTTATTTACTACAATGTTGTTGGTTTCATAACACGAAAATTTCTTTTGCTAATTTATAAGATTTTCTTTAAATTAAAATTAATTAAAAACTGGCTAATAATAGCTTTGCTCTGTTTCCATAAAAGAAAATCCAATAAAAATGATATAATTAAAATTATATCCATTTCTGAAGCATCTTTCATAAAAGTTGGCCAGAAAGGCTTTGATTTTGTTGGATATTTTCTAAGTGATTAGTGCAAAATTTTAATGAAAATAAAAGCTTCAGAAGTTGTACTAAATTTCAACTAAACTGACCATGATTAGATTGTCGCAGTGTGCCCAAACACCACTCCCATCCGTTTCTTAAACAACCCCGGCTATGCCTGCTGATAGAGAAAGGTCATGGTCGTTGTGTGCTAAAAATAGCAACGACATCCTTTCAAACCTTCAGAAACACACAAAACTCAATTTTCGCCACTAAACAAAAATAAAAGACCTTTAATTCCGAAACGAAGTTAATGTAAATACAGTCAACAAACTCCGAACACACCTTTGACTGTAATTAATACGGCCCGGAATTAATTACTATTCATTTACTTGTTTAGCGTCACCGCTTTCTCTTGTATGAACCGTCATACCTATATCCCGGAGACTTCGTGGCGGTTTTTAACCGGCCTGGGGGAGGCCCTCCCTATTCGCGACTTTGACGCTCCCAGTCAAGTCGACCAAGCCCAGCAGCTGTCGGGACCCAGTAGCAGCAGTTGTTCAAACAGTCCTTTTCAGGGCTAACTTCCGAATGTCATTCGATCACCACTCTTCGAGGCTCAACACAGCTCACTCCTGCACCTTCTACAACGGACCATCTGTGTTTGTCATCCTTCTTTGCTATTGCCATCTCCTTGCCCTTGTGTGTCCCCTTTTTAGTTGTACGGTCGATTGGCACTCACACCTCTCGGCCCGCTGCAGGCATAGCCGGGGTTGTTTAAGAAACGGATGGGAGTGGTGTTTGGGCACACTGCGACAAGATCAACAATTAGCTTGGATTTAACTTTTAACAAAGGACCATTTTTAATAAAAAGAAAAAAAAAAAATACTTCACCTCTCTATTTTATGGTTATTGATATGCAAAACATACTTGTTCAAATTTTATAGATACTAACAAATTATACTGTTCTTATTTTACAAAGGATTTTTTCAATTTTTTTTTCTATGTTAGGTTGAAAGTCAAAACTGCTGTCATTTTTGGAGAATATATGACAGTCTAATGCACCTTTTGTTAATGAATTAATAATATTGTAACATATTGTCACATAAAGTACTGTATTTTTTAACTGTTATTGTAAATGCTAATATTAGTCATTTCCCTATAAGGAAACATTTGGCATTCATCAGCCAATACTGTTTTTGTTTGAAATTTATAAAATACTTCTCTTAAAACACTTTTTTAGGAAAACGGATTTTTCAAATCCAGTACCTGTTATCACTCTTTCCAGTATTGATGGGGGTTTCCTTCCAAGCTTTCTATTTGATGTGTTGTGGATTCTTGATTCAAAATTGTTCAAGACATTCTTTTTCTTAAAATGTTATTAATTTTATCCAAGATATCATTGAAAGAATCATTAATTTCTTTGACATTAAACATGTTCATTGTGTAACAAGTGCATCTAAACTAATTTCAACCATCAGTTTTTAGTTGATGTTATAGCAGAGAAGATTAACAAACAAATACTGGGATATGTGACAAAATAGTTAACATATATTGTAAAGTAGCTAATTTTGAGTAATGTTTTTGCTTTCAAGTATTTTTTGTTTTACTGGAAGATTTAATTATTAACAGGAAAGATAACAATGAAAAATTATTTTGACATTTTCTATGCAATGATAATTAAAAGATAGTTCTCTGATGGGAATTAAGATTTTTTTTTTCAAATGATAAAAATAGCAATAAACATCTTGCTATATAGAATGTTGTTTTCTAAAGTTTTATCTTCTCTTCTTCATTTAATCTGTAACCCAATGAAGTCAAATGAACTTGGTTTGTTCAAATATTTGAACTTGGTGATCAATTTTCATGACTGCTTCAAAAAGATGTCACATGAATCTATAGTCCATTCATAATATCACCCAAAATTTTAGCTAGTTACAGTTGTTGACTAAGATTAGCTTAGTCTTGTACAAGGTGGAGTAATGGATTACAGCTTGGATTTAGGAATCAGAAAGCCAAGTTCAAATTCCAGTTGGACTCATATTCATTTATGTCCTAATACCCTTGGTGAAGAGTATGAATCCCTCTCTTCTACCCACATCTATGGGTAAATAGCAGGGTAGACTGGGTTCTGTAGTCTTGGGTGGCAACCGATGTAGAAGGAAAAATCTAAATTCAAAACTGTAGCCCTGGCAAAGCACATACTATGCAGCTAAGGAAAGGATTGTTTGCATTGACTTGATGATTCTGACCATGCTCGATTCCTTTGTACAGAACTAAATATATACTGGCAAGGCAGTAGCTTGAGTATGCCTTGAAAATCTGCATTTGAAATATCTTTTAGCTGGCATAAACAGTTGTTGAGAAGTGCACAACTACCTTTTCTCTCAAGCAAGTCATTTTAACTGTTTCATAATGATAAAATGGAAAATCAGTTACCAAGAATGTTCTTTCACCAGAATTATATATTTTGTATATTTCTGGTTTGGTTAGGTATGCTTAAATTAAACCTGAAATAGAATTTAGTATGACTAAATATTTTAGATGACCCAAATGAGAAGTAATCTTACTTGATGTAAAAACACTTTTTTTTTTTTTCTGTCTGTAGACAAAAAGGGGTTTTTATGAAAGTAATTCTTAGTAAGATACATGTTTAGTGTGCTGAACTAATCTAAACTATTAACCTATGTAGGTTTCAAGATAAGAAACC